CTTAATTGGTTTGTCTGCATCAGCTAGAACAGGGGTTCCCAAAGTGGGGGTCGCAAGATGATTACAAAATAAAAATGGAAAATAAAAATAAAAATAATTTAAAAAAGGATTACCGGTACTTTTTTTTATAATTTTTTATTTTAAATTATCATTAATAATAACGTTTGCATTGACATTTTTTTCTTTTGACAATCCACTAGCGCAGTGTTTCTTAAACCCCCCCCCCAGTCGACAGGGGGCCACTGTTATTTTGGGGGTCGCAGGCTCAAAAGTTTGGGAACCCCTGAGCTAGAACATCATCTTAATGTAAGATATTGACTGTAAAAGGCTAACAGAAATGGATTTAAAAATCAAAGTACACATTGTAGCGATTCCATCTGGAACGATCCAACAGCTAAAGCTGTTTGTGAGCTTTGGTACCTGAGGACAGGAAGTAGTGCTGAGAGTCCCCGTGGATCCCGATGGTCCCCGGCCCCACAGAGTCTGCCAGGATGTTCACCACGGAGAACGCTCCGCTCATGAAGCCGAAGCCCAGGCCGGACACTGAGGTAACCAGGACGACAAGAGGAGTGGTTTATTCCACATAAATGGACGATGAGAGCATTTTTGATGCATCATATACACCGGGGTATATGTTCGCCGAATAGTCAGTGCAGTACAGAAGTTTTAAATACATGTTTAAGGTCATTTAGAAACAGAAAGAGTGTCTCCCTCAGAGAGTTTGTACACCAAAGGGCAACCAGAAGTTTCTTTAAAATGTCTCACTGGGTGCTCCTGATTACAATTCTGTAAAAATAAATACATTTCAGGGATTGGATTAATGTCATTAGGCAGGAAGTAAGTATAACGCTGCTAGACGTCGCTGCTGATTTAAAAATAATTGCTAAAAGAAGCAACAGAGTTTGAGATATCTTTATTCTTTTTGACATAAAAGTAAAGAATAAAAGTATTAGCAGGTGATGTGAAGTGCAGACTAACTGTACCGTAGGCCAGCTGCCGTATGGAGATGGGCATGGTTTCCTCCTGGCTGAGAGTGAGGAGGCCTTCATTTGCTTTTCTGAAAGAGAACACACACACATGAGCCTAAAGCTCCTGTTCTTCACTGTGAGCTGTAAACAAGGTCATCAGTCAGAAATATGTATGTCAGACAGAGGAAGACGATACGGCCTGCAACAATGAACCTTTAATAGAAAAGGACTAATGGTGGGAGACTGGGACACAATAGGGGATACAGCTGGGAGTCAGGGTGTGATGATGATAACAGAGTCAAAAAGTCAGCTTTTGTTTTTTTTCACAAAATGTCTCTTGACATTGTGTAGGTCATCTTTTGGAGCGGACACAAACTCCACTTGAGCTACAGTGTTTACCTCAAAAACGCCAAAAATATGTGTGGTATTAAAAAAAGGAAAAGGCCTTATTTTTATGACTTCTTCCCATAAATAGTTCCACTACACAATTAAACAAGAAGATTTATGCATTTTCTTCTAAAATTGAGAAAAGTATTTGTAAAGTATAGTAGTAAAGTATTTGTAAAGTATAGTAGTAAAGTATTTTACCACTGGTTTCTATCCATTTCCTAACAGAATGAAAGTATGGCAAAAACCAGAAATGTTGGTTTTAATTACCGTAATTTTCGGACTATAAGGCCCACCTGAATATAAGCCGCAGCAGCTAAATTGAATGATGTGTACATATATAAGCCGCACTGGACTATAAGCCGCAGGTGTTTTAATGTTTAATTACCATATGTAAGGGTTCGTGCACAGAGGGGATTGTCGGGAAAGAGATGGCTGTTTGAGGAAGCTCCCATTTATTAACATTTCAACAAACAAGTTGCATATTTGCATAACGTACTCAAGTGTTACCATTTAGTGCAATAGTAGCTACAAAACATGTACTGTGCTGTGTAAACTGTACTGCAGGGGTCGGCAACCCCTGGCACGCGTGCCAGCATTGGCACGCGGCACCGTAACCAGTGGCACACTAGGAATAAGTGGAATAAGTGTGCAAAAATATTTAAATTGTATTTTCGGATCCTGAACGAGACCGCCGCCAGAGCGCGTCTCCCCGTTACCTGCAAAAGGAAGCCATGCACGTAACGCAGCCCCGCTCTCTTTAACTCCAGGTGACTTTCTGCCGCTTTCCTCTGTGGTGCAGTGCTGATTGTTTCACCACGGAGGAAAGCACTTCACTAATTGCAGTACCCATAAGGAGCTGTACAAATGCCGCAGTCTTTGCGTGGCTGTGTATTTAGTTGAAAGCCCAGTGGCGATCTGCTCATCTCTCATCGAAATAATATGCTACAAAGGGGCGGACTGGCCAACTGTGTGTTGAACTTTCCTGTCGGCCCCCAGACCGTAGTCG